GCGAGGTTCACCGTTCAGGTACAGGACCTTGCGGGATGATGGGTGAATGGTCTGGGGCAGAATATGCGGGTAAGCGCTGTTACATTCGAGGACATGGACTCGGGCGCAACTCTGCAGCTGCGGCCTTCTGTGTTGGGGGAAAACACCAAGGAATGACATATTGCCGTTTCTCACAACCTCGTATTCCTATCGACCATTGTGGGTTCGGATCCTGAATCCGACTTCGGAAGAAGCAAACCGTCATTCAAATATCTAGGTTTGGGGAGTCACCTCGAGGCGAGTAAGACGATGCGTTCATCCCATGTCTGCATAGGCAACCAGCTTCCTGAAACGATCATCAAGGCCTTGGATGAAGGTGCTTTTTCCATTCACGAATTGGCTCGTCAGAGGGCGGTGCTTTTCCGTGCTGACTTGTGGGGAAATGTGCTCGAATTTCCCATTGAGGCTGTTCAGTACGTGCAGCAATGGCAACGGCCATGCCAGCTTCAATGATGCCACAGGATGCTTCGCCCAAGAGCGCGCCAGTCAGAAGCGAATAGCGCCCGACATCCCCTGTCCTGATAGTCGATTTGCGCTGCGGAGTCTTCGCCAAGAGCCGCAACTAGGAAGCTCGGCTTGCTTTGCTGGCTGGGGTCAACTGCCGTTTAACGTTTAGGACTAATTCAAGCGAAGGAAGAGGGGCGCGTCTAGAGGGGGCCTTTCGGTGATGAGAGAGAAGTTGAGTGGCTGAGGGTTCGAGGAGTCTGGAGGCAGCGAGAGAGAGGGGGAGAAGACCGGATGGGCTCGGTGCCGCCCGATCGCGTGACTCGCGCAATCGTAGTTACTCAATGGCAGGCTTCATCTTGGCAGCAACAAGCAGGATATCTGCCTCTTGCTCGTCTGTGCAACGTATGCCCCTCGATCTCTGTCTTCATCACTTGGGCTTCTCGTGAGGTTCAAGGTTGACAATCCCGCCGCGCGGATTGTGTGCGGCGGCAGCGGCAAACAGATTGCTGAGGATTTTGAAGAATAACGAAAATGAGGGGCGAAAGAGAGATGACGGCATGCCGCATGCCCGTCTTGGAACCAGCACCCATCCCGGCCATAGCTTCCCCTGATATTTCTCGGCACTGCGCAGACATCGCAGATGTTCTGGGGCCAGGCCGGTACGGAGGAGGGAAATAGGAAGGAGATAAACCACGCAGCCGCGCTAAGGGACATTCGCTCAAACTCCGCTGATATAGCATCACAAAGTTAGGCCATTCGAACACAGCTTCTTGGGCATCCCGCGGGTAGTTACGCGGAGCGCCGAGGTGTCGTGCTCAGGATCGATCTTCCCACGTATCTACTAGGAAAATCATGCAGCTAAACCACCTGTTCTACCTTTTTGATGTCAGCGTAGTTTATGTTAGAAAACAGAACCACAACGGCCCGGTGGGTTGAATCCGAGGACCACATAGCGCGTCGGTGCGTGGCATGTGAAGACTCCATCGATCCGCGAGGCCCCATTTGTCGAGGTCCATTGCCAACTTGCCAAGCAACGGGCCCTGTGGGGCCGATAGGAATTGGGTTCGTATTGACACCGGCTTGGCACAAGAATTACAGTGTCAGCATATTGCTGGGCAAGAAGTTGAAGTCATCGCGACCTTGTCTTTGGGTTGAAAGCTCCCAAATTTCATGTTGTCGTTCATGAGGCTCTGCAAGACCTTCGGATCCCGGATCAACTGTTCGTCTGTGAAGCTAAGTTAGAGAATAAGGTGCATGTAGCTTATGGTACTGGTGGGTTGCAGTGCCTAATCAGGCAGGCTGATGTCTGGGACTCTGGGAGCTTGCCGATAACCTCCCACATGCCGGCTAATCAGACGGCCCCCCAGTCGCTGTATGCAATGCGACGATAGATCCCACCGGGTAGAAATGCTTCAGTGTTCATGAAGCCAAAGATCAATATCTATTGCCTGAAGAATTCGAGGTGCTGAATTGACTGTGGTCTCATTTTCAGTCCCTTTCTCAGTGCCCGAAGCTCATGGTCTTACATATAAACGGTAATTCAATTCCTTACTCAATGCGCTTATTCTACTGTAAATGCGACCGCGTAGGAGACTTGGTAATGTGCCTGAGGAGGGTTCTTAGGTATCTCGGCGAAAGATAGGAAGTCTCCCTTATTAGAGCCCCATGTCTAGGCCATTGTGAATGGCGCTGCGCTCTATCCGCATCCTGCAACCTTCCAGACTACCGGGATCACAACAAAGGAAGCTGCCCTGCCCAGAGTGTCGGGTCAGTCTACGTTTATGGCGACCTCTTTTGAGCCTTACAAGATAAGCTTGCATGCATATTGCGCCTGTGACTGGACCCCCAGCGTCGGATTACAGACATTCACTGTGATTCTCGATTACTGACCCGGGCAGGAATAAACACATAATAATAAACGAGTAAATTTCGATATTGAAGAGGCTGCAGGAGTTTGTAACTAAGCTGCAATTCGGCGAGAGCGAAATCTCTTGTGTACACTTCGATCACTTGGGAACAAGAAAAAGAAAAAGAAGAAAAGAAAAACACAAAGAATTCACTACTAGTCACAGAAAACTAGAATCTGGATTACCAGTTGAGTGAATTAAGACCTTCACGTGTTTCTACTAGTTCGATAGTTGTGTTGGGGACTTATTGAGAAGTTCATCTGGGATGTTATGGATTAATGAATCAAGGTGGTCAACTCAACAGCGGGTGTTCTGAGGACATCGCAGATATGGTGACCAAATTTAGCTGACGGCATGTTGATGAATAGATGGAATCTTCTTATAGGTCTAAATTCTGGATATGAGATTGCTGATCTTCTAGTTCTTGAGCTTAGTCTGAGAAGTGCCTTACTGGGAGCAACACTCGTACTTTCGGTGACTCCTTGGTACATTTGAAAATGCTAGATAGGAAACGTTGATGATGCTCGGGCAAAATCCCATGTTGCATCTTGGGAGGCCTTTTGGGTCTATGATATTGTACGGAGGCAATTTGAACTATGCACTTATTTACTCTTTCGAGTGGATGCATCCGAACCTTCTTTGAGGTTGTCTTTGGTGTTATTACTTGCGTTACCCTCGAGCTGAATAAGATAGTCAGAGATCATTCACTTGCCTCACTCGCAACTTTGTGTGTCTTGAGAGGTACTAAACTTACCCCAATGAGCATGCGCTTATCTCCAGGTACAATCATCTCAAAGCGATCGTTGATGATACCATACTCGAAGTACCCTAGTCGGGCAATTGGATTCGTCTTGGAGACATCGATCCTCCCATCCGTCAAGACGCTGTCATCAATATGAACGCCGACAACCTTGCCAAAAATAACATCGACAGTCCCCATTGGCGGTTTCCCGGGAAGGCGCACTGTTTGCATATACTCGCACTCAAAGCGGACAGGCGAATCGGCGACCATAGGTACGGACGTCTTTAAACTCTTTGACCACGTCTTCTTGAGGCCAGCTCTCAAAAATTCATCTTCGTTAGGGTCGATTGCTTCCGCCGAGATGTTGACGCTCTCCCGGAGGGGGTACGTTGCCAGTTGCCAACAGAAGCTTCCGGTACGCTCAATGTTGTTAACGGTATCTTTTCGTCCTTCAGCGTAGGTTTGGTTGGCGCTGAACATGACCATGGGTGGGTCAAAGCTGACGTTTGTGAACTGGCTGTAGGGGGCTAAGTTGTGCTCGCCGTTGGGTGAGACGGATGAGATCCATCCAATCGCGCGAGGCACTACGCATGCCTGGATGGTGTATTTTCAGTGGGATAGCCCATATGGTTTTTTTTTATGAGCAACTCACTTTGAATGGGTCATATGGTAAACCATGATCATCAACACCAGGCTGGTAAAACATTGTAAGCAAAGCCGTGAAATTCGAAGGTGTGCTCAGTGGACGTGCTATCAGTGTGAATTGGTTACGCGTAGATACAAAGGATAGTAACTCTTAAGTATTTCTTGGCAATTTATAATTAAAGTCAGGTTGAAGTCCGGATTCCCCTTGGTCTGTGAAGCCAACTGATGAAGTGAGGGGTCTACCGAACTCCCACTGTCGTCCGACACTCGGAGCCGTTTGACGTCACTGGGTCGGAGTATTCGGTGCTTTGGTAGCTGCATTTTCGGACAATTCGGACCAAATTTCATATGTCCACTTGCCGATTTGCCGTGATGCCTGACTGAGACCCAAATAACTGTCCAACGTAGAGATAAATCGAACTTTCAAATTAGTTTAACGGCGGACTTTCTTCACTTTGCCTTGTTCTTGTTCCACCATAATCGTTGACATGTACTCGGCTCAACTCCCACGGGAGCGAACCTCAACTCAAGCATTTGATAGATAAATTCAAGAAACACATGTAAATTCCCAGCAAGCAAGTTCCACGGGGCCTCGTGGGCAGTACCGTTTCATATGGCAGATTTGAAAAGAGGCCGAGTCATGTGGATGTAGGTAAGATCAAAATTGATTCATAGTGGTATCCTAGATAAGCGCTACTAAATTCAAGGACCCGGACGACTTTTGACAAAATCACAGATATACCCTGCAAGCCCTCATCGGCAACAACCCGTCCTCCTGATGATCTAGGCCACCCAAGCTTGAGGATCGACAGCTCTAGGCTTAGGAGTAGCTTGTGCCGTGGCGGCGGGCGATGACACTGAGCTGGTGGACCCGCCGGAGGTGGTGTCGACGATACAGTCGCCCTTAGCCCCGGCTTCGACCTTGGTGCACTCGTCGTTGGTGAATCTTGAGGGCACCTTGATGCACAAGCCTGCACTCTCGATCTCTCCGCCCTTGGAGGTACACAGGCTTGAGATGCCTTCCAGGCTCACATCAAAATTGCTCGCGCTTGCGCAACGGCATCGGAAGATTTCTTGAGAGACTGCTGCACTGTGGGTTGGTTAACATATGTGTTGTTTCGAAGCGTAGAGCGAGTATACTTGCCCCAAAAAGGCCACGGTCATGGTAAGAATGGATGCCTTCATATTGAACGCTCGAATCGATTTATAGAAGATGAAGATAGAATTCGAAGGTTGAGTTGGGAAGATAATGTTCGTTTCTCTATCAAAGTGGGAGGTTGTTTTTTGGCTGCTCGAGGAAGTTGATTTGGGTTGCCATACATGAGAATCTATTCAGGCCGGGCCTAGGGTATTTATCCTACATGAACCGTGGTTTGTTATCAGATGGGTCCGCGATTTACTGCATTACCTAAATTGCACTTCATGTCCCGGTGTCGTAAGACTTGGGCGCAGCTGACTGGGTGCATCACCAAGCACGGCGTTGACTGACTCGAACCACGCCGCCAAAGGGGCCAGAGACTGCTTCTAGAAGCCGGTGCTGCCAACACGAAACAGGAGCTGCCCTGCTGATGCGAAACTGACTTTTGGGCTGCGGGCCAATGCATAGTGCCGTTCGCTACTAAAATAAAGTCTGAAGCAAGTGGAATGGCACCGGTACCCAAGTTTTCCCATACTTGACAGCGGGCGTCGGACGATCCACTGGAGTAGAGTCGTTCACTCGGCGGCGCTCTTGCCAAGGCGCTGGTAAGCTGTGCTTTGCATCCCGAGGCCGCCAGCGATAATCAGAAATGTCCTTGGTATAGCCCGGAAAGTGGAGTGATGCAAACTCTATTCTGATGAATGAAGGTCGAGATGGGTGATGATGTGACAATCGCAATATAGCTGAGACTTTGGAACAAGCGGACTTTCTGGTTTTGACTTCCAAGTCAAATTGAAGCATCGTCTGCCGAAGGACCCTCTCCGCCGAGGTGACAGCCATGTTAAAGTGTTCGCCCAAAGGGTCAATTGATTCCTTTCATCACCACATCCACCAGTGTGGACTTCTGATGAGGAGCTTGGTCAAGTACATGTATCTTAGTCCGCCTGGCACAAACCAAAACATTCAGCGTCTAGACAGCCTTGCTCTATCCCCCAAGCGTTTTATGTTCTGAGTCCTGCGGGGCCGGCCAACCCGAGGCTTCGGCAAGCTTGGACAAAATCTGTAACTTACTCTCGGCGACGACCGTTGCTATGTTGCCGCGTAATCTTATCGTCTCTTTGGCCCAGCCTCTCAGCAAAGTAACTTGCGTGCGTATAACAATGCTCATTGAAAAGCATCGCGCCAACTTTAGGTTCTTTGGTCGAATCGGTCATGTTGAGAAAACATGGACTCAAGAGGGATTCGATTTCTAAGCGGAGTTGCGACTACACGGTGTCAAAGCAGACGTCTCATCGAAGAGACAAAGATTCCAGAATAAATAGACATGGAGTGACGTAAATCAGGGTGAAGACATGACTCTGCAATTAGACTTGGAGTGCATTCCAGCATGGGCTAAGATTCGTTGATGACGGGGTGTAACAAGAATAAGTAAATTTGTATAAAGATTTCAATGCTTTAATAATGACTGGATACAGAAATCAAAAGTCTATATTTAAGGTCCGTCTATAGTGCCTTTACTTGATATGTGAGGAGTTCATGTCAGTCTCAAAGGAGGCCGGCTAACATCTGTAGTCCGCCTTTTGCCACCAAGAGGATCTGCCTATTGCATCGCTGTGTGAGACAGGAAGTCCGTTATAGATTGACATGTAAGTTGCATTTTAATCATACATGGAAGATCCACGCCGTTTGGTTTACCATTTAATGCAAGATTCGTCACGTACGCGTGAATTGCGATTGCCGCCGACGCGTTCAGCGGAAGCCCGTTCGAACTGGCCTTCCTAGTAAAAAGGTGTAGAGGATATCCATCTCGTGATAGTGCAGCGACACGTCGAATAGATAGTTATAGGCATGCATTCCAAGAGCATCAATGAAAAAACCATTAGCATTGCCGATGAACATAGCTTCGGCTCGGTGCGGGTGTGCCTTCGAGGGGCATTCCTTAGGTCCAAGTACCATTGAACACCGTGGGGTAGAAATTCAACCCAGGCAAAAGAATAACTGGATCTTGATTCAGTAACTTGTGCTTTCATGCGCATGACTTCGTTCGGGATCAAGTTCTCATTATTGACGCTTAAACGTATCGACTCTGTATTATGCAATGTGAGTAATAGCAGGTATCCAAGGATGAGAATAGTTGGACATCCTGTCAAGGCGGGTGACTACCTCCAGCGGCTCCGATCCGCTCACTCATGATTGTTGTCCTCTACAACATGCGCATGCGTTTCCAACGCAAGCTTCTCCGTCTTCCGAGCCACCTCTTCGGTCAATCTATCCTCGTTGCCATCAAGAATGACAGCAGTCTCCTCCAGGCTCATCTTTCCTGTTTCCACAAACAGGAAATACACCACCACAGCCTCAAAAGCCAGCCACACATCATACGTGATGTAGTACTTCCACTTTGAGTTCGTCACGCCAACCGGGTTGGCGTACTGATTAAAGATTAACGCCAGTGCCACGAATAAGTTGTACAAAACCAAGCCTTTGGCACGCAAGTTGAAGGGCAAAATCTCCACGACGTAGGTGACCTGGAGTGCGCCCCATCCCACGGTGAACGTGACGTTGTACAAGAAGATCATGGCCAAGACACCCTTTGCGAGGCCTGGGGATCCTGCGCCGGTGAGATCTGTTTGCTTTTCGTATGTTGCTTGAAGTGCTGTCCAGATGACGTAGCACAAGAGAGAGCCGATAGTCGAAGCGAGGAACATCGTTCGGCGGCGGAAGCGATTGACGAGTACGGAGGCGAGGAGACCCCAGAATAATCCCCACAGAGTGATGAGGGCGTTGATCAGCGTCTGCGCGTCTTGGGAAGTATATCCGATCGAGTTGAGGATCAAGGTCAGATAGTAGCTGATCAGACCGTTGCCGCTCCTATCAAGATAGAGTCAGATGCTGATGGCTAGGTCAGGTAGCGAAGGGTCTGACTTACCACTGTGAGAAGAAACCAACAGCAAGAATGATGAAGAAGCGACGTCGGTTACCTGGTGTCTGGAAGAAGGCCATGTACGACGTAGTTCGCGATGCTTCCGCCTCCAATCTCAGTGCCGTTCTAATCTCCTCCATCTCCAATGGGACGATGAGGTCGGACGCATCGCCGTTGGCGTGGTACTTCACCAACAGCTTCTCGGCCTCCGCATCCCTCTCTTTTGAGATGACCATCTCGGAGACTCTTCGATAAAGAAGCACAACCCGAGCTGCACGATGCTCGAAAGTCCCTGCAAAATGGAAGGTATCCTCCAAGCCCACGTATTCCCAATCCGGAAGGTCCCAAAGGTAATCCACGCGGCGCTCAGGGCTCCTAGTCCCCAGAGGGAATTATAGATGGATACCAACGGCGCTCGCTGGGACGGGTATGCCAGCTCCATGATCATCAAGGGCGCGGCGGTGATATTAAGCGCGAGTCCGAAGCCAAGGACGCCGCGGGCGACGATGAACATGGCGACATTCTGGGCCGCGCCTTGGAGGGCTACGCCAATGAGCAGGATGGAGGCGCTGACTAGGAGGGCAGGTTTGCGTCCGAAGCGATCGCAGAACCAGGCACAGAACGGGAGTGCAAGGAGCTGACCCACGTTTTGGATTGCATTTAGTCTGTTCAACGTTAGGGTAGACTCAGTGTCGGATGAATGGAAATACTAACAGTCCCAATTCCTGAGCTCCTGGGTTATTGAATGATTCCTGCCATGTGTCCAGGGACTGAAGACCATTCATCATCGAGCCATCGTAGCCAGTCGCATAACTCGATACCAACGAAAGTGCGATGACACAGTTAAGCTTGACTATTCCCGCATTAGAGAACCAAGCCAATGCGCCTCTCTTGTTCGCGATAGCGGCGTCAACAGTGACGGGGATGCCGCCGGCCGACTCAGTTGGTGCGGCAGCGTTTTGCGACATGGCTGCGGTCGAAGGACGAGATGTTGCCTATTAATCCGAAGACAGTCGACCTCGAAAGATCCCGAAGGGACGGGGGATACGGGGTTGTTATCATGCTACGAGCTCCGATATAACAACAGGCCAGGCCCGATCCGTTCGTATCCCACTCGGCTCCCGATAGCAGGCTCAATGTTACCATGTCCGGTCAACCTCCGGGCCGGAGTCATGTAGGAGATCTCACAGAGTAGAAATTGTTGGGGGCGTGTAAACCTCAGCCTGCCGATAGGAGCTCCCGAGGGGAGATCAGGAGATACCGGTGGGGGTTTCCCCAAAGGATCCAAGGGTTCGGGTTGGCTGCGCCTATCAGCCACTGGCGAGATGCTCGGGCGAAATGCTTCCGAATCAGGAGCAACGACAGATATGCCGCTGGTAACATGACCTTTGGAGAAGTGGAGGCTGTACCCTTCCCTCAGAGACTATGTTCTTACTATCGAGTCACGCAGCTATACAAGCGCTGGATATCGGGTTTGCCCCAGCAGCCTCTATGATCTTCCCGACGTTTATCCCCGGCTCTCTCATGGTGCCATTCCCGAGACCAACGCGTGGTTCTTGGATCTCACCCCGCAAACCCGTTTACCTAGACCCCGCCCAGGCGCAGCTCACTAAGACCAAAATTGGGGTATGTAACCTCGCCCGGGGTACGGTGATGGTCCACCGGTTCCGGCCCGGTTCGGACCGGGGCTCGTCGAGCTGGAATTGATATCTTTGATTGGCGGACCTGCAGAGATGCCAGGGAGACTAGTAACAGTTCGGTCGAGGAGGCCTGAGTGAGGTTGGCGTGAGGGGTTGATGATGGTGATTCTTGGTGAATGGTGATCTACCCCCGGCTAAGGATGTTAGCGATGCTCGCGTGTGAACGGAATAATTGATCGATTCCATTATGGACTTGCTGTGATATCCACTTCCATGATTGTTAGGGTCCTTTCTGGTATATAGTAGCAGGCGCGAGACGGCAGGGAGAAGGATGATTCTGGCTGGGAAGCGTTTTCCGGCTTTGCTCAGTATTTCTCATCGCATTTCCATAAGCACGATGTATATCAAGTTAGCAGTTGCTTCGCTTGTGGCCTCTGGCGCAACGCTAGGGTCTGCCGCGACCAGCAAGCCAAAGCTTTCGGCAAGTAAGAAACCGACAGAGACCTTGGGGAGGTCTAGGATGTCAAACAGGTAGTCCAGATTGACTTACACTACTATCTAGATGCCCAAAGTCTATTCGACTTCTCTATGGGGGTCCAGGACTCCAGATGGGACGACTCGTACAACCTTATTTGGTACCAAGACAAGGGTCCGTGGTCCGTCCGCTTCACAGCTTGGTACACAGCGGGTCTGCTCCATCGCAATGAGGGCGACGACGTGGAGAACGCAAAGGCGGCGATTGAGAACATGTAAGTTGGTTGGATCGAGAGACTGGAAGAAGGCGTAGGATAATTGATTCACGATCTGCGATGCAGTCTGGCGAGCCAGATGACCTCAGACTACGAATCGGCGTGGTATGGCACTTTCAAGCTGTCGCCCGACGAGCCGGACCCGACGCCGGACTCTGAGCTGTATCCTCCTAAGATCTATGTGAGCATCATCTAAGTGCAAAAGCGATGGATGGCAGGAAGTCAGCTGACCAAGGGTCTAGACTACTTACGACCCCAACTGGAGAGAATTCATAGGGTAAGTCCTTGGAAGCATAGAGGAATCCAACATCATCATGGCATTTGGAAGGGTGCAGGCACGTACAAGGATCCATACTAACACGACCCAGGACTCAGTTAGTACAAGACGTCGAACTCTACTCCGATCTCCTGGGCGCAGACCTCGTGAAGAAAATCGAAGATGCGCTCGAGATTCAAGCCATTGGCGCAATGAGGCGCAACGGCAGCTACCCCGAAGGCGATAACCTCATCCTCGGATACTCCAACCCAGGCCTCATGCGCGCCCTCACAGTAGGCTGGATCGGCGCCCGCCGCAACAACGCAACCTTTACCAACTTTGCAAACACCCAAGGGTCCCAGCTGCTGGAACTCTTCAAGTCCAACGGCTCGAATACTCTCGGTGAGTACAACGCGCCAAACTACTACGGCATGGACGTCTGGGCTCTGGCCGCCAACATCGCTTACGGCCCGCGTAACGCAACCCTGACCAAGAATGCCGAGTACATCCTCACGAAGCTGTGGGATGACATTGCAGCGCACTATAACCCCTACCTCGGTAACCTCGTGGGCCCTTATGACCGCGCTTACACCCGCGACATGACCAAGCACTCGTCAATTCTGCCCATGTACTGGTGGGCCGTCTTTGGGCGCGAATACGGGCCCCAGCCGCCCAAGGGCGAGGGCGATTTGCTCTTCGATGCAGCGCAGGGCGCCGCGATTGCGCTGGTTTCCGACACAGTGGCCCGGCACATCTCCAACGGCACCGCGGCGGCGCTCAGGGCGAAGGGTCCCTGGGCCGGCGAGCGCAGCATCACGCGCGAGGTTAAGGAGAAGCTGAATTCGGACGCCACGCGCACGACGACGTCGTGGGTTAGCGCGCCGCTCATGATCGGCGGACAGGAGCTCGCGGAGACCAAGAACCGCGGAGATCAGTTCGTGCCGGCGATCGTGCACTGGGCTTCGGACCCGTCGCACACGCCGTACCCGTACATCGGTTTCTTCCTGCTGTACCCTTCCGCGTCGACCATCTCGGCCGTGGCGGGCGAGAGGTCGCTCAGCGTGTCATATCCGAACAGCACGCAGGAGGGCTCTGATATTTTCACTTTTGCGCTGTCTGGGATTCCGCCTTCGTGGACGCTGGGCGGGAAGACGATTACCGGATTGGAGGAGCTGCCGTGCCTGAGCGTTAATGTTTCGGCCCCGGGGTTGGACAAGTTGCCAATTTCTTATGGGCAGCAGTTGAGGAATCACTGGTATTATAATGTGTCGTACGCGGTTCCTGCTGGATTTGAGGGTGTTCCCCGGGTTGATCTGACGATGGAGTATACTTGCGACATCTGAGTAGACGAGGTATTATCAAGAATACGGTCCCTCAACCGAATGAATACTAGTAATTGACTTGGGCGTACGACAGAATCGGAACATGAGGCCCTGACGGTTAGCCGCCACGCTGCTTTGTAGAAGCAGTCGAATATGTCCTTCGATTTTGGACACCATGATTGTGCTGCAGCAGCTCCAGTGAGAACGAACTGAACCTGAGCGGGCCATCACGTTGATATCTTCCAGAGACGCGGGATGTGTACCCGTGAGCATGTGAAAGTGTCTGCTCATTGAATGCTTGGGACTGGAATGAGTGTGTGCTGCATCATGCCAATCTTCTCGTCGACCAAGTGACTCTGCCACGCCCACTCATAAAATTTATGATGCAGATTCAAAGTCAATTGTTGTCATTTGGAGATTTGACTTTCCTGGACCGCGCGCTAGAAGCCACGGTAGCAACGCTTCGTTGGTGCCTCGGGGCCATCCGTTCTTTTGGTTTGAGGCTTCTTCAGCCGCTGAAGTGAGGCTCGGTATTTATATTCGCCGTCAGTGTCACTCTGAAAGTTCCCAAGGTGAGGGCGCGACGTTTGGGTTCTTAGGCCGAGATTCGCCCTCGTTTGCTTTGCTTTGCTTTGCTTTGCTTTGATTTGATTTTCTCACCCCGACTCACCGCCGATTCGTATCGATAGCTATATTAGTCTCATCTTGAGCTAAAATTTGCCCTGTGAGACCCTGGCCAAGGCGCCCCTTGTTAGTTTCAGATTGAGTAAGCCAGATTCAGGTCGCTGGCTTCGGAAAACCCAACCGAAAACGATTGCAAATCTCTCTCCTCCTGTCCTTTGAAGACTTGAGAGTCATCTTGGATTCTTCAAGAGACTTGTGAACCAGTCAAAAGAGTCTAGGAGTTGACAGTTGTTCGCTTATCAAAGGATGGAATCCCAGTGGCCCAGACAAAAACATGGCAGCAGGGGAGTGAAAGGAAGCGCACCCCGACGGCGCCGATTAACCGCAGCAGATCCCTGGAAACATCTCCACTATTTGTCTCAGTTTGGCGTCTCGTCTACCTCAAGAGAAAAAGAAGCTTTGACGCTCGTGTCGCAGAGGAGGCAAAGGACTGGAAGAGCGGCAGAGCGAGGGCGAAGGACTCGAGAAGCGTGGCGTTTGGGGGACAGCAAACACGGCGGCTCCCCCTCCTGAGCGTAGCGCGCCCCTCCTCATCCTTCCGATCACCGTACTAATTTCCACCCTTGAAGAGCTCCTTTTGAGGCTTTTGGGTGTCCCATTTTTTGATTTGGGAGGCGTTCGTTGATGGCGGCCTTGTTCTCTTTGTGGCTCTTGAAAGTCTAAAGTTCGACCACGTCGCCTCCGTTAAGCGCCAGCCGTCACTTTTTCTTCCTTTGTTTCTTTGCTGCCTGTTCGGGATCTTCCCACCCCCTGAGAGCTGAGAGGGAAGACACACAGCCTTGCTTTTCCTCACTCGTCATCTGTCATCAACTTTTGGTCGATTTTCAGTTCGGACCCTTTACTCTACTCACTCAATCAATCGCACATACGTACTCATATGTACTCATAAACTGACTCGGTAAACGCCTGATCTGAGAGAGAACAAGCCCCGGGAGGTGAGAGAGACAACGAGGCGAGAGGGCCAAGGGAGGGATCGGTGAAGGTTGAAGACAGAATGGGCGCCGGCGATGGTCCCCGTGTCGGGGACCGTCCCTTCAAGGACATGGACGACGACTATGACGCGTCGTCGCGCCGGAGCGCCGATGAAGAGGCCCAGTTCCTAGCCGAAGGAGAAGAAGGCTACGAGCTTGAGGAGAGCACATCCAGCACGCCCTCGCTGCTCTCGCAGCAAAAGTTCGGCCCTCACATCCCCCACAAGCGGCACTGCCTCGCCGGGCCCCAGCCGCCGCGCGTACACACTATCCGGCCCGTCCTGCCCGCCGTCCAGGAAGCGCCGCCGCGTCTGCTGGACCTCGTGGCGCCGACGCCGCGCCGGAAGGCTGTCGTCGTTGCCGTGTTCCTGGCGCTGTGGGCCGTCGCCTTCTCCATTCCCCTCGCGTCGTCCCGGGCGATCAGGGATGAGCTCGGTAGGGACGTCATCAACCTGGACTGCGGCGACACCCTTTGGCGCTTCAAGAATGGGTGTGGGCTGGACGGCACCGACTGCCGGCCCTTTGCGAACTCTTCATTTTCTTTCAGGTGTCCGGCAAACTGCATGGCTCACAAGTTGTTGAACCCCCACGCCGTCGGTGACCGGGAGATCGTCTACCAGCCGCTGGTCGTAGGCGACGAGATCTACCGCGGCGACTCCATGATTTGCGCCTCGGCGATTCACGCAGGCATCGTGACAGACCTGAGCGGAGGCTGCGGCCGTCTTCATCGTGTCGGCCAGCACGAAGAGTTCAACAGCACGACCAAGAACGGCGTCGAGACTGTTCCGTTTGACTCGTACTTCCCGCTGTCGTACAACCTCACTTCGAACCCGTCCCTCCAGTGCGGCAAGCGTGACCCCCGCCAGGCTCTCCTACCGACATCCATGTTCTTCACCTCCATCTTCTCCCTCTTCACAACGATTCCGGCGTGGCAGTTCTTCGTCTCGTTTGTCGGTATCTTCGCCCACGTCAGCTTCGGCTCCGACCCGCCCACAGCGTCACGGCACGCCGCCTCCGTCCTGCCGGACCGTATCTCCAAGTTCACCGGCCGTCTGCTGCCGGCACTCTTCTGCGCTGCCGTGCTCTACCGGCTCTGCGTCAGACGAACCCTCACGGATCTGAGGGCTCAGTTCGAGAAGACGGCGCTCTGGTTGGGAGGGTTCTGGTTCGGCGCGCTGTCGAACTATACCTTTGGATGGATGCCGATTCAGCGCCTCACGGCACACGACATTGAGCATCAGCCCGGCGCCAAGCCTGCGCTGGCCCTCATCTTGATCATCCTGACCTTTGTGATGGCCAAGCAGGTCTACTTCTTCTGGCTTGAGGGGAGACTACCCCGGTTCCTGGCGTTGTATGCGCTCTTTCTGGCAGCCGTCATTGTCGGCGTCTCCATTCCCGGCGTCGATCTCCGTGTGCACCACTACATCATGGCGTTCTGCCTATTGCCCGGCACAAGCATGCAAACTCGGACATCTCTGTTCTACCAGGGCATGCTGCTGGGGCTCTTCGTCAACGGTATCGCTCGATGGGGCTTCGACTCGGTACTCCAGACGCCCGATGAGTTGCGCGAGGACGGCCCTTTCAACTCGCTGCTCCCGCAAATTGCGAAACCAATCTTCTCCACGGGCTCTTTTGAGCCCAGCGTAACCTTCACCTGGCTTGTACCGCCGAACATGGCCACCGAGTTTGACGGTATCAGCGCTTTGGTGAACGACGTCGAGCGGTTCCGGTATTATTTTGCCGATGGCCCCGTCGACAACGAGTTTGTGTGGTTGAGGAAGGCCAAGATGGTGCTTCCCGAGTATTTTAGATTTGCGTACATGAAGGATGGTGTGACGCTAGACTATACACAGTCTGGGACGTGGTTCTCGAACGGATCGTGGGTGATGCCCTCATAGTAGACTTTAGCATAACATTTGCATGACCGGATAGAATGGACGGGGGCGTTTGATCGTGGCTACTTTGTTTTCTGGGGGAGCGACATGGATCCTACAAGATAATCAATCACATCTTAACGAGCATCTTTGAAGTTATTTGAAGTCAATCGTTGAGAAAACAAGGGTTCGTTGATACATGTAAGCACCAGTGGCGTTGTCATGCTTGAAGATACATACTCTCGGCCTCTAGGTGCGGGCAACCAACCGGCTTGCCCCTCGATTTGGGTGCTACACTGCCTGACTGACTGCCTCGAAGGCTATCCCAAAACGATTTACGAGCGCCCGACAAGTACTGTTGAGCTGTTTCTCACAGTCTTTCTCAACTCCGTCCATCCAGAACCCGCGCGGGATGATTGTGTCATTGAGCGCCCCACAAACGCTAATGTAACTCGTCGGCTCGAGTATCCTTCCCTGGTTCCCCCCGTGTGTGGTCTCTAGTGACCGAAGCCGAAGAAAGTTCTAAGAAGCCGGCCGAGTAATTTGGGTATGCGTTCTCCAGACCCGCCGACCGGCCCCAACCGAACTTAATCTTCAAAGAGCGAAAGTCTAACAATCCGGGAGGAATTAGGCTACATGTTACTACCTACTTAATGACTCACCGTCACGACATTCCTTCAAAGTGCACTTCTTAACTTGAGGCTAAACCCCAAACCTCTTATCTTACATGACAGTACACCCTTTCACTTTTTTCTGTTTCTGACTTTTACTGAGACGAAAACTTTACCACCTCAATCAGCAGCAAAAGAGATTGTGTCACCACAATGTCAAGAGCCAAAGTCGAATTGATCCCTTGGGATCCCATCTCCCCAGACCACGTCACAAGAATGATAGATCAGAGGATAGCATGCGGTTGGGCCTCGGATTTGGTGCCGCAATGGCAAGAGAACCAGCAAACTGGATTCAAGTGCATCTACTGGATTGTGAGTTCTTCCCGTCACAAACATGAGGGGAATGCCCAGTTCCCACCAACAGAAACTCGTTGAGATCGGCGCAACTCTTCTCAATCCCCATCTCAAGCGTTACTCTTCGAAGCCATGCGGTTACTAACTGTGCTTACAGGTATTCGCAGATGACGATACGGAGCGAGAAGCAAGACTCGCAAAGCACATCGCCGAATACCCCAAAGTGAGTCCAAACCCAATGCCATCAAGCCTCCCCTCCCCTACGCATCAATACTCACATCCGTCCCACAGGAAAAAGTGTTTATTCTGGATACAGCAGACTCCATCAGCGCAACCCCGCGAACCCCCACAGGCGCATCCTTCCACCCTGTCGGCCACATCTCACTCGACATCGACAACCCCGCCGCGGCGCCTCTCAACCTGCCGATCCCTAAGGAGAACGTTTACTGGATCAAGAGCCTCTACGTGTCGTTTGCACTGCAGAGCTGCGGCATCGCCAGGGCCGCCATGGACATGGTTGAGAGCATGGCCATCAGCGAGCCGCTGTGCGCAAAGACGCTCATGTTGGATACGGTCTCCAAGGAGGACCAGTTGAGGAAGGAGTCTATGGTAGTGGCGCAGGGAAAGCTTCCGCCCGTGAGTCGGCCTTTCTTCCTTCGATGCCGTTACGAATTGTAGAAGACTGACATGGTATTTTTACTTAGACGCCGACACATGCATGGTATGAGAGGAGAGGATATAAACTGATCCACACCATCAACAACTTTTATGGTTTCCCGGAAAAGGATCCGGATGGCAACTTGCTCATTCGAAGAACGGTGTTCTTGCGCAGAGATCTCGTCTAACTTGGTCTTCTAGGTACTCGCGCGTACATGTAAATAGCTCTACCTCGGATACATATGTCTATAACTTGCAGTAGTGAACCTTCAATCGGTCTTCTCCGTATACCCTGGGGCCCCCTTCCCCTTCATCTGCATGATCGCCTGGCCTCCCGGCTGCCCACCAATCACGCTCATCTTCATTGCCTTCTCGTAGAACGGCACAGATTTATCCCAGCTATCGGTGGCCAAGATGTTTTTCCTCAAGTACGGCATCGGCTCGATCACCTCCTGCACGCATCCCACTAGCCATCTTCCCAGGCCGTTGCCTTGTAGCGTGGGGTCAACCCACACGTCCGTGGTGTAGGCAAAGGATACAAAGTCGGTGACAAGACGGGCGAAACCAACTAATCGGTGGTATTCCTTGGGCTCGGCGGCGGCGCCGCTGCTGGGTTCTTTTTGAGAAGTGGTGGTGTCGTAGAGGCCGAAGCAGAGTGAATTTTCCAGCATTTCTCTCACGAAGGACTCCGGTATGGCTTTGGTCCAGTAGACGACTTCCGTCGCAAATGCAGCGTTGAGTTGGGCGACGGAGACGAGAGATGCATCCGTCGAGATGAAATACGAGTCTCTCGTCCAGCGGCGATTCCGCATTTCGGTGCTGGGTGAGGCCATGGCTGAGGCGTGTATATCGGGATGATGTTATTGGCCAAGCGCGAGGATAAACTTGCGTAAAGTGCTTGGAGTTGCGCCTTTCGAATGACGAGCCCCACAGTAGGTGGATTCCTTTGGAATTTCACGAAACACGGTGAGTAGAAGATGGTATGAATGGTGAAAATTCAGCCAGGCTAGGAGAGAAACTAGCTATGTTATATCTGTATTTGCTATCTACTGGTAGGAACTTTGGTACGTGACTCAACTCGGCTCTCGATCCGGTCCCCGGTATCGACGTCGGAAGGGCCCCACATTGGCAGATTGTCTCGGGCAAACTGTAAATACAAGCAAGCCGAGGCCGAGGTGGAGAGGAATCAAGCCGGGAGTCAGAAACTAGTAGGTAACCATCCAAGAAAAGCTGGGGAATATTCTGCTATTCAAATTTATCAAAACCTATAACGAAATCGTAAGATACCGACGATGACCATAGGTCACATCAGAAACCAGCCCAGCGTATCGAGCGTATCTCAGATTTAGCGTGCTTAAGAGCACGCCATGGGTGCCAAGCGCTTCTGCCAATCCAAACATACTTGAGAGCGTGAAGCGTGACTCAACGGACTTTGCGAATACGAATGCGCGCTTCCAACTGTATGAAAGAAATACTTTGATGAGAAAGCACATTCTCCCCAAGGCCCAGATAGCAAGTGTAAATCGTCATACTTGATATCGTGACCGGCGTCGCCTCGGATCATGAGTCCTGTCGCGGCTCATCTCACGGCTCCTGTCGCGGCTCTTGCTACGGCTCTTGTCTTCATAGTCTTGGTGCTTCTCTGGTCTTAGAAACTTGGTCTCATAGTAAGCCTTCTGGAAATGCCACCACACTCGCCAGCCAATCACGATGGCGATGGTCAAGGGCAAGCTGACGGCCCAGTAGATCCAAAACTGTGGTACAACGGTGGGCTCGGCACCGCCGTCGTCGCCGCTTGACGATGAAGCTTGCCAGTTGAAAAAGGACATGCTAAAAATTGTCTGTCAAGAGAACTGGTCACCAATGCTTCGTGAGAATGTGCCAGCCGTGCTGGGCATCTCAAGAGTCAAGACGAAAGGTAATCCAATGAGGTGGTAAAACGTACGGCTACAAAGGTTGGAGGAAGGAAAACCATCGTCACCACTGCCATTGTCTTCATAGCTGTGCTGTCCATTCCGGCTTGCGCTGCGACTTGCCCGGCCTGTGTTGATTGCTGCATATTGAGGCTGTTTCCGGCTTGGGCGATGAGATTGTAGAGCTGACGTGCGTCAAACGTTAGCGATGATGGGTGACTTTACTTTCGATCCTCATCGATGTCTTTTAAAATTCCTTACCACGTTGAATTGAAGGTCTAACCTGGACTGCATTCTAGTTGCATATGATGAGATAGACTGCGCATCTCGCTCCAGAAGGTCGATGAAGCCGCACAGCTCCAGATCTGCCTCCGAGGTCGTATGCGGCTCGCGACGGTGAGCCTTAACATCGTCATTGACACGGCGGAGAAACTTGACGTATGCTTCGTCCCACTCGAGAGTCCCCTTCATATTGATTACATCAGTGACCGTGGTGCTAATCCGGGCGGTCGTGTGAATCCTCGGCGTCTCGCCCAAGACCATAGCCTTCACTTCTTCCACGATGCGTTGATCTTGGACGGTTCTCCCGGAAAGCCGAGCTGTCTGGGTGACGCCGATAGCATCTTCAATTTTCTCCGTTGCAGAGCTCAGCTGCCTTCTCATGATCTCTGCTCTGGTCAAATGCCGTCGGAGAATCATGACAGGAAGAAGTAGGGGATGGGGCAGGAGTCTCCGTGATGACTTGAGTATCTCCTGAATAGCTTCGATGTGAGGTACAATCGGTTGCTTGGTAATTTCTGACTTGTCGGAGAAGATGTCCCAGCCGTGAATGAAGGCAAGAGTTGTGCGGGTTTCAAAATGGTGGGACATTGCCATGCCGAGATTTCCAAGCTGGAACATCTGAGGCTGCTTTATTGTCATGACTGGAGCAGTACGTTATCAATTGATTACTCGCATGTAGTAGACATGTTCTTATATTGCCCGTACCTAATGACTCGAGCGAGGTTAACGGCCGACCGCTCAAGTTCTTCTTGAACTTCAGATGAGCGTGCTGGGTCCCAGTGTTCCCGTTCAATATTGGTAGAGACATAGATGTCAGCCCGATGGCGTGTTCGACCGACAGAAAGGATTTACGGCTCATAGCGAACCGTAGAGGCCTAAAGTGTAGGCGTTCGCATAACAGTATACGGACTTGCGCCCTTGGACGAGACTGTCGACCTGCGGATGAAAATTTGCCCCTCTGACGAAGCCATTCATCAACTTCGGAGTCTTCTAGAGGCCCAGAAAAAATCTGCACCTCTTCGAAATCGCCTTTCGAAGGATGTCACATCAGCATGGGTTCTGCTCTTCAGCGTGGGGCAAAGAGGAAGTTGAGAACATACCGTCCTCCCATGCCTCTAGATAGGCGAGGTGCCCATCTCCAGGAGACCACTCTGACCGGCCTTTCCGCTCCAAAATCTCGCGACGCTCTGAGTCAAACATTTAAAATGACGAGAATGAGGCACTTGATGCACAGGTTAACACAGTCTTACGTCCATTACGATTGAGGTCAGGACGGAGCCTGATGATAAGCCCCAGTCGATGTTGCATGAGCATGATGTGAGATTTTGGGACAGGTCTAGGTGCCCTGAATAACGTGCATATTCTCCTCCTTCCGGTATCTCGTATCTGCGCAGAAACAATGTGCGCACCCACAAAATCAATGAGATGATACCATCACAACAACTTGACCGAATTGTAGAGACTCTTGTGCTGTAGGTATTAAAGGCAGTTTGAGCTGCGGATAACATCCGGGAATAGTCTGTACGCATGGCCGCGCACTGTAAGGATGCATTGAGTGCTTAGCACTGCATGCCGCTCTACCTTAGTTTATTGCTCCATCGAACCGACATGGTGGAAACATGAATCCTTCCTCATATCACGCGAGGAAATATTCTACCGGCAAAATCAGCACGCAAGAATGCCATGACTCTGTCATGACCGGAAGGTGGGGGATTTAACACTTGACTACAGAGGCGATCCCCAACTCTCCATAAGCTTCTTAACTTACTTTTGCCTAGGGGATCAGCCAACTCCAAGAAATATTCCCCTCGGCCCCCTCCTAGCGGTCACAGGCGGCCCAATGACCACATCAAAGCAGAAATTCAGGCTAAATGCATCGTGGAATTGCCGTCGATGAACGCCCCGGACCCCTGTACCGTCGTACTACCGTGCGGAGAAACGCGGGGTGCGGAGGCCCTGGAGGCTTTTCACCCGAAATTGGACCCCATGGTTCGGTGATTCCCCATCAACAATAGTCAAGCAAAGCCGAGGAACGATGGACTGGTGCGAGGGTTTCGCTCTCTCTTCGTGGAGTCTACTAGGAATCCGTCGCCGAATAATGGGGCGGAAATACGTCAAGGAAAAGTTTCCTAGCTTGGCCGATGGAATACGAATGTTGGAGACCACATCATGGCACGCCATATAAGAATCCACGGTAGGTCGCGTCATGGTGGTATCGCAATGTCACAGTCACTTCGAATCACTTTTCAAGATGATGACGACTTCACGGCGGGCCTCATTGCCGACGCGAGTCTTCGGGCTGACGCTCTTGAGCCTGCTGCTGCTCATCCTTAGCCCCGCGAACGCTCTCACTATCCAGCCCCGACAGAACTCGTCCACGCCGACCACTGGCGGACGCGAGCGCGTGAGCATCAACAAGGGATGGCGCTTCTGGCGCTCAGAGTTCAACCCGGACGGCCTCATCTACGACCAGCGCCCGGATCTCGTGAACCTGACCGACACCTTTGCGCTGAAGTCGTGGATCTTGCCGTCTGCCAACGACTTCATCAACGACCCGGCTAAGCACTACGAGCGCCCCGGCAGCGAGCCCTCGCGCAATGTCTCGTATGCCTCGGCGAGCTTTGATGATGCCTCGTGGGAGAGTGTCAATCTGCCTCACGATTGGGCTATCGCGGGTCCGTTCTATACCGAGGAGAATCCCATTATTGGTGGTGGAATGGGTCGCTTGCCTGTGCATGGCGTGGGTTGGTACCGTCGCTCGTTGACGGTTACCCCCGAGGATGAGGGCAAGTCCATCTTCCTGGATGTGGACGGCGCCATGTCCTACGCGATGGTATGGCTCAATGGCTACCTGGTCGGTGGCTGGCCTTACCCATACAACTCGTTCCGTCTCGATCTCACGGCACACCTCAAGACTGGACAAGACAACGTTCTCGCCATCCGACTGGACAACCCTCCAGACTCGGCACGCTGGTATCCTGGAGGTGGCATCTACCGCAACGTGTGGTTGACCAAGGTGAACCCAGTCCACGTCGCGCAATGGGGAACCTACATCGTCACCAAGGACGTCTCTCCCGAGTCCGCTACCGTAGACTTGGCAGTAGAGGTCGAGAACAAGGGCGACTCCGATCAGGATGTCGAAATCTCGACCAACATCCACCTACTCGACGTCTCCACAGACAAGCCGGGAGCCAAGGTAGCCGAGTTCCCCAGCTCGCCTACTTCCGTTGCGGCCGGTAGCAAAGCACAAGTCAACGGCTCAACGACCGTCACATCTCCCCTTCTTTGGGGTCCTCCACCGACCCAGAAGCCGAACCGCTATGTCGCCGTCACGACAGTCACAGTCGCCGGCGCCATCGTCGATACCTACGAAACTCGCTTCGGCATCCGCACTGTAACCTACGACGCGAACCGCGGCCTCCTCGTCAACGGCGAACACGTCCTTATCCAGGGCGTAAACAACCACCATGACCTCGGCGCCATTGGCGCAGCCTTCAACACCCGTGCCGCCGAGCGCCAGCTCGAGGTCCTCGAGGAGCTCGGCTGCAACGCTATCCGCATGTCCCACAACCCACCCGCCCCGGAACTTTTGGAGTTGACGGACAGCCGTGGGTTTCTAGTCATGGATGAGGTGTTTGACTCTTGGTACCGCAACAAGACGGCAAACGACTTCCACCTCATATTTGAGGACTGGCACGAGGCAGACCTGCGTGCCATGATGCGCCGCGATCGAAACCACGCCTCCGTCATCATGTGGAGTTTCGGCAACGAGGTCTCGGAGCAGCAGATCGGCGACCCAGGCACCGTCCCCGCGCTCGAGCTGCACGGCATCGTGGGCGAAGAAGACCCTACCCGGCCATCTACCGCATCCATGAACTTTGCCAAGCCGAACATGTCCTTCCCTACCGCCATGGACGTCCTCAGCTTAAACTACCAGGGCGAAGGCATTCGCGACACACCAAACTACTCCTTCCTCCCAGGCGTCAGAACGCACCCCCTCTACGCCGACTTCCACGAGGCCTTCCCGGACAAGATGATCCTCAGCAGCGAGACGGCCTCGGCGCTGAGCACGCGCGGAACCTATATGTTCCCCGTGACGGGCGACACGGGCGCCCCCGTCAACGACACCTCAGGCGGCAACTCCACCTCGCAGCAGGTCAGCGCGTACGAGCTCTACTCTGCCAACTTTGGCTCCTCGCCCGATAAAGTCTTCAAGGCGCAGGACACGCACCCCTTTGTCGCGGGCGAGTTTGTCTGGACCGGGTGGGATTACCTCGGCGAGCCGACGCCGTACTATACGGCGCGCAGCTCGTACTCAGGCATCATCGACCTCGCGGGCTTCAAGAAGGACCGGTTCTTCTTGTACCAGGCGCGCTGGAGGCCCGACGTCAAGTTTGCGCATGTGCTGCCGCACTGGAATTGGCCCGAGGACCGCGTTGGCGAGGTGACTCCCGTGCATGTGTTTACGTCGGCGGACGAGGCCGAGTTGTTTGTGAACGGAGTCTCGCAGGGCAGACAGACGCGCGTGGAGCTGACGTACCGGTTCCGATGGGACGATGTCGTATACGAGCCCGGTGAGATTAGAGTCGCGACGTATAAAGACGGCGCGGGGTGGGCCGAGACGACGGTGCGGACCGTCGGTGCATCAGCGAAGCTTCGCGCTTCTGCGGATCGTACGACGATCAAGGCCGACGGCTTGGACTTGTCGTTTATTACTGTTGAGGTGTTGGACGCGAATGACGACGTGGTGAGGTTTGCGGACGATGAGATTACCTTTTCCGTGAGCGGACCTGGTGAGATTGTTGCGACTGATAACGGTGATCCGGCGGACTTGGTTGCGTTCCCGTCGATGGTCCGCAAGGCGTACAGCGGTCTCGTGTTGGCTATCGTGAAGTCTGAGGAGGGTGTTGCTGGAGATATCACCGTCACAGCTTCTGGTGCAGGTCTTGAGGGGGTAGGAGTTGTTGTAAAGACACAGTAAGGATGCCAAAGTTTGGTGTACATAGCTAAGGGTCTAATCCCAGACTGCGTGAAGAGAGTCTAATACAACCAGCATTAAAAGTTGATGAGAATTGGGGACATTCGATTGATGATTCTCGTGTACCTTATCTAAAGGACCTACAAGAGCTTGGTGGTTTGCACTCGCTCTCGCAAATTAGTCACCTTTTACTCCGGGCGCAGGGCCTTGGAAGAGCCTAATAAATGGGCTGCAAAAGTTAATAGAGTGAGCAGGTGCATGACAGGGTCTGCCATAGTACGAATGCAAGTGTAACTACGAGCCCTCATCAAAACCACACGCAAACGGGATGAACTATGGCTACGAGTCAAGGCCCCCGATGTAGAATCAGGCGGCTGTTCAGCAGAGGTAGGGCTGAAGAAGGACAAGAAGACCGAAATCGAAGGTGAGACTCTAACGAGTGTCTCCCCGTATTCGGCCCAGGTGCGTGCCGATCTCCTCGTACCTTCACCACACCTTGGCCTCTAGATCAACTAAATGCCAGCAGCCACGCCGCCACGCTCAACGGCGGCGGGAATTAGGTTAAAGGCGTACGACGGAGCAACCCGTTTAAAAGGACGAAAATAGCAGCAGGCCACCCCACGGCGAGCGGGTTGCCAACTTGTCCGGCACTGAGATGGGCGTTGGACGGGTCAACTCTGGAGGGAATCCCGGCATTGTCGAGATTGACCTTCCCCACTAAGACTCCCTGCAGCATCCGCCCTTTACGAGGTTGCAAATGATCGCCATAATGCGGGACGATGGGCACATCAAGTAAATAAGCTCTGCTGTTTAAAGATGGCACGCCCATCCCGTAGGCCCGTTCATCGGATCTCGTCCTGCTCTTTCTCGCTGTACGTCCTGTCAATCGTTTGGGTACATTTGTTCTGAGACAATCATACCATGTCGCCCGTCACTCGTTTCTTCTCGGCGGCGGCGGTCGCGTCCGCAGCGAGTGCGGCTGTGCTTGATCTGGGCATCATTGTTGACAATGGCTACGTGCGTGTCATCTACAGTCTCTTGGCAAAGAGATGAAGTACTGACCAAGGCATCACAGAAAGTTGTCGAGTTTGGTATTGGAACCCCAGCCAAGACATTTCGTCTCCTCTTCGATACGGGAAGCTCCTCTTCGTGGGCGACCGACAGCCAGTGCCTCGCCAAGGGAAACTGTAACAACGGTAGCGGGTGCGTCTCTCGAACCATA